GGTCCACATGTGTTTTCACATTCTATCGCATACATCTTCAAGTCCGGGTATCTCTTAGGCCAGCATATCACATCGATTCAACATGCAGTCTACTCGTGGAGGGACGCGACAGATCGCGGAGGTGCTTGTGGGAGGAGCAGACAGACAGATTTCCAGTTGATGAGAGAGAGAGGTAGAAACAGAGAGACATACTGATGGAGAGACAGAGAGAGACAGAGAGAGAGAGACAGAGAGAGAGACAGAGAGAGAGAGAGGTTGTGTGTGTGTGTGTGTGTGTGAGTCACGTGTGCAGTCTCAATTGCACGGGACAGTTTCAATTGCACGGGAGAGAAGGAACGTACAGTCAGGATGGTGGCAGCATCGGCGAGAAGATACAGGCAGCGCTGACGAGTGTAGTCGGTGGTCATCGCCTTGAAAAGGCAATACAACGTGGAGTTGAACGAAGCGGACGTCAAGAAATCCGTGTATCCCGCGCGACACATGGCAGCGATGCGGTGATTTTCACACACACGTTCACACACGTTCACACACACACACACACACACACACACACACACACACACACACACGCTCACACACACACACACAACACGCACACACACACACACACACACAACACGCTCACGCACACGCACACACACATTCGCATGCATGTGGCTCACAGATAAGAGACGCAGGCTTCGCAGCAGGAATGGCGTGTTTCCCTCCTGTGAGCGCCTGAGCTCCTCCATCGCCACGTCCACCTCATCCTAACGCACGTACACACACACACACAGACATGAATCTGCATGTGAGGTGTGGATGGTTTGAACCAAATGACCACGGGAGAAAGGTGGAGGAAAGAGAAACGGGTGTTGCGATTTTAATGGACTACAGAACACACTTTACAGACGTTGGCGAATCAAATGGATCAAACAAACCACCAAGCAAAACAACGCCTCACAACACAAGCTACACATGCTGTCTCTCCCACCCTCACCACCACCACCACACTCACGCCAGCAACGAAAACACAGCAGAATAGGCACGAAAATAGCGCAACGAGAAGGTAGTGGCAACACCCGCGAAGCAACTCATAAAGGGAAGAAAACAGCAAGAAACGGCACGCTGAGCGAAAAAGACAGCAACTGCCTGGTTGTCGCTAACTTCTCTGACAAACAACCCCCCCCCCTGCACACACACACACACACGTTACTCTGAACAGCAGCAAGGGTGCAGCAACACCGCACACATGCACAGCAGCACGTAATGTGTGTGTGTATGTGTATGTGGCAAGTCAAGTGGTCAAAGTGTAGCCAGTGGTGTGCATTCAGCGGCGGCGACTCACGTTGGGCTTGGCGGCGGCCGTGCTGGGGACGGTGCCCGCATTGCTGGCTTCAAGGCCCCTCCCGCCAGCAGGGGTGTGCAGCCCCATTCGTGCCGGCGACATGGCAGGGTACCCAGACCACATGTTCGGCCACGCCTGCGCAGGCGCCTGGTACTGGTGTTGTTGCTGCTGCTGGTGTTGCTGGTGGTGGCGGCGGGCAGCACGGGAGACGGCCGTGTGCACCTCGCCTGACCGTCGATGATGATGGTGGCGGCGGCGGCGACGGTGTGATTGGTCGGGGCAGTGAGGGAGGAAGTGAGCAGGTGAGCAGGTGAGCAGAGGTTGAGAGGAGGCAAGGTCAGCAAGGAAACAAGCAACAAGTCCTTAACAGACGAACACAGACAGACAACCACATACACGAACACACACACACACACATGCACGAACACACACACACACACACATGCACGAACACACACACACACACACACACATGCAGACAGCAACCTCACCGTCGCTGCGGACGTCGAGGTTGGCGAGGATAAGCGAGTAGCTCTGTGCAGCCTCAACAAATGCGCCAAAGGGCCCCTCCATCAGCCGGCTGAAGAACAGGCTCAGAAACTCGTGCCGCTATCACAACGCAAAACACGTTGGCGTTGTGCGTTGTGGCGTGCGTGCGATGGTTTGAAGGTGAGCACAGGTTATGATGTACAGGATGAGCATTTCGAGAATGCAAGCACGAGATACCCACGAAGACGCACAGCTGGGTGCACGCGCGCGTGTGAACAAACCTCTGTTGGTTCGAGGATGCTGGCATAGGCAAGGGCCATCTGGAAGTTGTGCGCCTCCTCGCTGCGACGAATCTCACTGCGGAAACGAACAAACGGGGAATGTGACGTTGCAGAGAAGGCGGAGGAGGGGGGGGAGGAAGCATGGGGTGAAAAAAACAAAAACAAAAACAAATTAGCGTGCGCACAGCATCGTGTCAGCAATCAGGTTGGTCGATGCACAAAGCAAGACCAAGATCAAGGGCGAAAACAAAAGCAAGAATGAGGGCAAAAACGGCAGCGACAAGAATAAGAGCAACAGCAAAAGCAGAAGCAATAACAACAATCCCAACGACAATGATCACAAGAGAAACTGGCAACTGACATGTCTTCGCGGGTCTGTGCGTATGCTGCGTTGCTGACTTGGTCCATGCGGTGGTCCTCCTCCTCGTCCTCAACAACATCATCATCATCATCAACACCGCCGCCGCCACTGCCGTCCATACGCATGTCGTCGTTGTATTCTGCAATGCGCTCGTACACGTCGCTCAGCCCCTCGCGGCCATACATGCCACCCCGCTGCTGCAGCTCGCGCTGGTGCTGGCGGTACTCTGCCCCGGACACGGCCCGCGCCATGGCGTCACGTGCGGTGTTGTAGTCATCATCATCCTCTTCGTCATCCTGCCAGTACTCGGCATCAGCACTGCCACGTGTGCGCTGCTCACCAAGCTGCTGCCGGAGCAACAGCACGCGTTCGCGCATCTGCCGTGAATGGTGGTGGTGGTGGTTGATGGGGAAGACACAAGCAGAAAAAAAAAAAGAGTGGGTGAGAACAAGGAAGGTGCACATCAAGGGTGGCATGGGAAGGGCACACGTATTGCAGCAACAAAGCGTAAAGGGAAAATGACAATGCACGCGCGTGTGCATGTGTGCACGTGCACGTGTGCGTGCGTGTGCGTGCGTGTGCAGTAGCCAACATACCCTGTTGAGGTTGTCCATGAGGCCGCGCTGGCGAATGACAAAATCGGCGTTCTGGTCGCCCTGCTCCATCGCAGCCTCAATTGTGTTCTGTGTACAGTGAAGCCCAGACGTACAGAGGCGCAAACAACACACAGCCATACACACGGTGAGCCCTGGATCACGCCTGAAGAGATCTTCAAAACTGAGAAGACAGGATATCACCAAAACCACCACGCAACAACGCCCACCAATCATGCATGCACATGTGTGTGTGTGTGTTTGTGTGTGTGTGTGTGTGTGCGCGCGCACGTGTATCTGTCTGTCTGTCTGTCTGTCTGTCTGTCTGTCTGTCTGTCTGTCTGTCTGTCTGTCTGTCTGTCTGTCTGTCTGTCTGAGTGTACCCTGTATTGCTCCTCGAGGCGGTGGAGTTCATCGAGCTCGTCCATCATAATGTCCTGCTCAAGCTGCCACTCTGCGGCGTCGGCCTGAGCATCGGCGCCATCGTCATCGCCCTCGCCCTCGCCGGCCATCGTCGTGCTCATCTCAGCTGCAACAGAGGGCTCCGTCGTCGCCCCAAGTGCAGGCGCGAGCGACACAGACCCTGCATGCCGTGGCGCCGGTGGCAGCAGATGGCAAGGCGAGGAACAGTGAGCAAGTAGGTGCACACGTGACGCAACGACAACAGCGAGAGGAATAGGAGAAGAAAGCACCAAGAAGAAGGGGGAGAGGAAGCGGAAGAAGAGCAAGAACGACCAAGAGGAGGCAAGACAAGAATCAGACCACCACCACCACCACCACCACCATCAGGAGTCAAGGCTAAGTGTGTCCCGCCTCACTGCACCTGATCGTGGGGAGATGCGCCCTGGAAGGAGGTAGCCTTTCTCGTGGTCCAGGTTGCGCAGCACCTCGTCAATCTCCGCCTGGCGCAGGCCAGACAGCTCGTCCTCCCGCGGCCCAATCTCCATCCCCATCAGCCCGCGCCGCTGCCGCCGCTGCCGCTGTTGCTCTTGTTGCTGCTGTTGGACATCCTCGTCATCGTCGTCGTCGGCGTCTTCCTCCTCCTCTGGCACTTCCTCAATGCCGTCTGGTGACCAGCACACGCGAAGGACGCAAAGAGGTGAGCAATCACCTCCAAGACGGGCCAACCAATCATTCCCGTCCTCTCGAAATAAGAAAATCCAGGCACGCACACAAACGCACATGCACGCACGCACCAAGCAACAACACAAACACGATCAAGTACAACACGCCCATGCACACACACACGTGTACGCTTACCGTGGTATGCGGCTGAGCGCTGCCTGCGTTGGCGAAGCTCCTGCGCCTCACGAATGACGCCGTGCCCCATCGCCCGCAGCTGCTCAACCCGCCCAAGCAGCGCCTGCAGACACAAGATTTCACCCCCCGGGGGGATACACGTAGTAGGGTGTTGTGGATGTGGATGTGGTGATGGTGATGGTGATGGTAGCCGTGAGAAGAGTTACATGGAAAAGATGTGCGGGAACAGCACGAATCACAGTGTTGCGAAATTCAGTTGAATGGAGGTACAATGTGTCTTTGTCTGACACTGTGAGTGGCATGCACACAAGACCCATCCAAACGAAACACCGCATGCAACTACCACGGGTACGTACGTCAATTCTGCTGTTGATGCCGCTGCCGCCTGCAGAAGCGGACCCTTGCTCATCTTCTTCGTCTTCGTCGCGCTCATCCTCATCCTCGTCTTCGCCTGTCCCCTGCTCGGCTTGCCCAAACTGCAAACACACATGCGCATTGTGCATCGGTACACGCGTCACCAGTATGGCAAGCAAAGGTAAAGACGCACACGCACATGCACACACACAGACACACACACACGCACATGCGGACAGACAGACAGACAGACACACACACACACAGACAACACGGCCAGGTCGCAGAGCACGGTGGGCGTACCCGCAGGGCGCGAAGACCTTCCTTCTGAGCACGCAGCATGGCCAGGAGTTGCTGTGGGCAGACGCACGTACACACAGGTCAGGCAGGTGACGTCAAGAGCAAGTGAGCATAAGGGATTAATGAGCTTGTTCAACAACGCACGACCGGCACAGTACAATAAGAATACAGGAACACAGCGCGGCTGATGGCCTCAGATGTGCTCTTGTACGCGTGTGCATGCGCGTGCGTATGTGTGATGTCATGTACCTGGTGGCGCTGGAGTTCCTGAGAGAGCTGCTGTGCAAGCGCCTCACGTGACTCCTCCGTCACCTCATCTTCTTCCTCGTCCTCCTCCTCTTCTTCCTCGTCCCCGTCATCGACACCCTCTTGCTGTTGCTGTCGGCGTTGCCGTTGCTGCTGGGCGCCGTCTTCTTCGGCTTCGTCTTCACCGTCACTTTCGGCTTCGTCCTGCTGCTGCTGGGCTGCGAGCATGCGCTGCCGCTTCTGCTCCAACAGCGCCGCCCGCTGCTCCTTCAGCGCCGCAAGCTGCGTCTGTACACATTCACACACACACACACAGGCGCATATGCACACGAACGTGGATGCAACACACCAGAGCACGAATGCATAGTGTGGCAGTGTGTAACATAGGCAAGGCGATTTGGGGGGGGGGGGGTGAGCGTGGAAGGCGCACATGTCGAGCGAGAAGGCCGAGCAAGGTTGTGCAGCGAAGAGACAAAACAAGTTGCACTGTCACACCAACACAGGACACGAGCAATATTTGAAGACGTACCCTTAGGTCTGCGAGCTGCTGCTGCTGCTCCTGCAGTTCGCGATACTGCTCCTGAGCAGCCTGTCATCGCACAGGTGGGCAGCCAGAGAAGCAAAAGTCAGGCAAGGGTCACACCTAAACACACCCAACACCCCCCAAAAAATTGTGCACATAACACAACACTCACGCACAGACATGTAGATGCACACTCTTGAATGCAGACGTGCGACGTTGTACGCACGCTGTTTTGTTGGAGTTGTTGCTCCTCCTGGATGAGACGGTCACGGAATGCTTGAAGCTCAGCGAGACGTGCACGCTTCGCCTCAAGCTCCCTGCACACACACACACACACACACACACACACAAGGACAGCCGCATGAGCAGTGTGTTGAGTGCATGAAAGGAGACAGTTGGTAGCAACTTGGACAGAAAGTCATTAACAGCATAAGAGCACAAACAGGGCAGGTGACCATGTTCAGCGACATGCCATGAGTTCTTTGACCCACCGCCGGGCTTCGGCCACGCGGCGAGATTCAACGACATCATCAACCGTCTCCTCCTCATCACCATCATCGCCACCCTGCTGCTGTGGCTGGCCGCGGCGGTGCTGCTGTGCGCGGTTCAGGTTCAGGCTGTCGTTGGCGTTGCTTCGGACGGGCGCACCGCCACTCTGGGCACCTTCCTGGCCAGTCGCACCTTCGCCAGCGGCATCCTCGTCCTCCTCATCGCCACCGCTTCCCTGCTGTTGTTGCTGCTGCTGCTGTTCCTGCAGGGAGCGCAGCTGCAACAATTGCTGTCGCATGCGGCGCGTCTCGTGGAGCTCCTGCAGCAGGCGGTCCAGCTCAGCGCGCTGCGTCGACGACTGCGGCAGCGTCCGTGCAAGCTCGCTCGCCGCCACCACGCTCTCTGTTGCGGTAAGAACGGAGAGCGAGAGAGAGAGGGGGGGGGAGAGGGGAGGGTGTATGTGCATGCATGTGTGCGTGTGCGTGCGTGTGTGTGAGTGCGATGATATGAATCTCTTGTCCATACATTGATACCAGACACAAGCAGCGACTACAACAGCACAGAAAGAGCACCATCCCGAACAGCGCGCACGATCAGCAGCAGCAGCAGCACAGCACACGATCTCGGTTCACCTGACCTTCAATGTTGTCGAGGGACGGCTGAGTCGCAGCATCGCCACCATCATGCTGCTGCTGCTGCTGCTCGTCGGTGTCATTGGTCTCATCATTCTCATCGTTCCCATCGTTTTCGTCATTGTTGTCGTTGTCGTCGTCGCCGGTGGGCATGCCGAGGGCGTGCTGGAGCATGGCCATCTGGTCCAGGTCAACCCCGAGCATCGGCAGCACCTGCGCCAGCTGCTCCCGGCCCAGGCCAAACAGCTGCTGCTGGTGCTGGTGCTGGTCGCCGTCGTTCTTGTCGCCCCCTTGACCGTCATCATCATCATCATCATCAGCAGCAGCAGCAGCAGCATCCTCCTCGTCCACGTCTTCACGATCGCCTGTCATGCCCTGCAGACCAAGCAGTCCTTGCATGGCCATCAGCGCCTGCCCAACATCGTCGTCGCCACTCGCAGGCTCCCCCTGTATCAAGAAACATGCACGCATCATCAGGTGAAGGGGGGGGGGGTGTTGGGTGCGCGTGCGTGCACGTGTTGTGGCGGCGGTGATGGGGTGTGAGCAATATGCTGTGCGTGAGCACATCGGTGCAATTCGCGGAACATGTGTTGGTGTATGGAAAGCGAACAGGGCAAAAGCGCGAGCAAAGGGAAAAGCGAGAGCGAGAGCCAGTGGAGAGCGAGCAGGGTGCGCCAAACATACGCGGAGGGATTGCAGGAGCTGGAGTTGCTGCTGCAGCTCTTGTAGCTGCTGCTGCTTCTCGGCCAAGCGCTCGTACTGCCAGTGGTCATCAAAGTGAAGGGGGAAAAGACACAACAGGGCAGAAATGGCGTTAAGAATGCATGGAGGTTGCGACACGTACACACGTGTGCGCTCAAGTTGCCTTCAGGGATGCACAAATTCCACAACATGTGCAACACGCATGCATGTGCTTCCACGTGCACACGAGTGTTCATACAAATGCAAGCATGGATAAACACACACACACACCAACTTCCTGCGGTAACTGACCTGCATCTTGACGTCCCTGACGGTTTCGCGGAGGTCATCGGGCAGCTGCTCCACAACCGCGTCCGGCAGAAACGCAAGCTCCTGCACACGTAGCGCATCGTGGATGTGTGTGTGTGTGTGTGTGTGTGTGTGTGTGTGTGTGTGTGTGTGTGTGTGTGTGTGTGTAAAGGTATGCATTAAGGGGAGCTGAGAGGTGTTTCGGAATTTACATCAGGCAGGGTCCTTGACAAGTGAGAACACACACACACACACACACCTGCATGGAGAAGGCAGCGTCCTCGTCGTCATCATCCGCGTCCCCTTGTTCCTCGTCTGGTTGCTCCTCCTCCTCATCATCATCATCGCCATCAGCGTTGTTTTCATTCTCCTTGTTCGAATCATCATCTCCGATTTCTTCTTCTTCTTCTTCTTCTTCTTCTTGTTCTTCATCATCATCATCTTCTTCATCATCACCATCCTCATCCTCATCCTCATCATCATCCTCGTGGTGCTCATCATCACTGTACTCGTCGTCCTCCTCCTGTTGTTCTTCCTCATCCTCTTGCTCCACCAGTGCATCTGCAGCGCCACCCTCCTGTGCGCTTGCCTGGTTTCCGAAGATCTCACCGCCACTCCCGCCCGCCAGCATTGCTTCAAGCTGTGCATGTGTGTGTGTGTGTGTGTGTGTGTGGGAAAGACCCATGTCAAGAGGCAATAACAAGTAACAAGTCAGGGAGCGAACATTGTGAGCGTGGTGGGCTGGCGCTGTTGTGTGCATGCGCACTTGTGTCGTTGTCTACGTGCTTGTGGATGTGTGGATGTGTGTGTATGACTGGTAGGCAGCTGCCAACGCCATGTGGCAACGTGGTTGTAGTGTTTACGCATCTGTAGCCCTTGTGCAGCGTTGAAGCAGCATGACAAAGCATCATGCAACACACCTGACGGGAGAGCTGTTGCAGCTCCTCACGCTGAGCTGCCAAGTCCTCCACCTGCCCCAAGAACAAAACAGTCGTCGTCGACACCAGCATAACGTGAATAATGGCAGCTGCATGAGCAATGCTGGACACACACGCGCACATTCGGGCACACACACACGCACACAACGCGAAACGAGCACAAGCGCGATTTCGCTCACGTCGTAGCCGGAGGCATGTGTGGTGGCAGCATCGAAGCTTCGGTTCAGTCTACCCAGAGTCGACACAGGATGCAGCAACGTGCACGTTATGTTTGTGCGCGAGTTGTATGTGTTGTGTGTTGATGTGTGTGCGTGAGTTGTGTGTTGTGTGTTGATGTGTGTGTGTTGTGCCTTAGATGTGGACAAGATGTGAGGTGTGAGTCAGTGAGAGTGCGTGTCAGATGAAGGCAGCGTGCCATTCAAGCAAGCGCACCTGGAGTTGCCGCTTGAGGGGGATGAGGCTTGTCGCAGCCGGCTGAGGCGCGAGCTCGGAAGCCTCGGTGGCTCACTCGCCGGCACTCGCCCTGCGGGTGGTGGCAGTGTTCGTGGTCACATAGCGGTGTACGACGTGAGTAGGACGACAACGAAACGGGCTGTCATTGTGCACACAACAAGCTGCATTGTGGATACAACAAGGGACCCACTCGAAAGAAACGACGGCACAGAAACATGCGAACACACATGCGAACACATGCAAACACACACACACACAGACACGCACAGACAGACAGACAGACAGACAGACAGACACACACACACACACACACACACACACGAGCAGACAATCGACCTACCACCGTCCATGTCGGAGGCGCGTGTCCAGGCTTCACTCAACAGCGACAGCGCTGAGAAGATAATGGTTGCGGGAAGATGCTTGTTGTTGTTGTTGTTGTTGTTCAATGCTTGATGGCTGTTGTAGTTATCTCTGTTTTGTGTTTTAAAACAGCATGAGAGTGTCGATCGTGTGAGATTTGTAGCTACACACCGCACCACAAAACATCGCAACATAAACACATCACAACCACCACAACGGAGATCATACACCATCATCCATGTGCGTCAATTCGACCATCACCACCACCATATCCACGATCACAGCCAGTGCACCACCATCGACGCGCTCACCAACAGCAGATGAAGCAAACAAGCAAGGCACAAAACGGCCGCGGAAAGTTAGTGGGAAACATCGCAGTCGCTCACACCTGTCAACTTTGACAGGCACCCCAACAACAACAACAAAGAGAGAGAGGGAAGAATTTTTTTTTCTTTGCCCAATCCAATCATCATCAAACACTCGATTCCACACCCCTCTCAGCTGCCTCAGCTGCCTGCATCAGCTGCCTTGCGTCGTCCAGCCGCTCGTCATTTCCCCCCTCCTCCTCCTCGTCTTCCTGCGCCGTATCGCTGTCGCCCTCCCCTACTCAACCCTGCAACGCGCAACCTGAGTCATGAGCGTGGTTAAAGAAGGCTGGCTGTTGAAGCGCGGCGAATACATCTCCACTTGGAGGCCCAGGTTTGTTGTTTTGGTTTTGTTTGTTTTGGTTTGGCTTGTGCGTAGTGATTGTTTGCTGTGCTGTGCTGTTGTGTGCTGTTGTGTGCTGCTTGTGCTGCTTTGTGTGCGACTCTGTGCATATCTTGGATCGTGATGGTTGGTGACGTGTGTTGTGTGTTGGCGACACCCGCATTCCGTGTTGGGTTGTGGCGAACCAATGGGGACCACTGACTTGTTTTACACGATGCTGTTGTTGTCGTGTGCGGACAGGTACTTTGTGTTGCGCAGCGACGGCAAGTTCCTCGGGTTTAAGCAAAAGCCTGCCAGTGCCAGTGATCCAGCTGTCAACAAGTTTGACGTGAGTGTGTGTGTGTGTGTGAACGTGTACTTGTGAGTGTCAAGGGTGCCGTGTATCGATGTGTGCGTGTGCGTGTGCGTGTGCGTGTATGTGTGTGTGCGTGCTTGTATGTGCAGGCTCTCTGTCGGAAGGCCAGTCGCTGCTGGCACCGTTCTATCATCACTGCTCTCGCTTATCGCACATTGTGTTCACGGTTGGCATTGCAGATCAGGGATTGCAAGATCTCTGTCGAGGATGACAAGGGCAAGAGCGGGAAGTTCGGCTTCTCCATCCGGTGCGTTCATGTGATTGGTGTTGTGAGTTGGTGTGTTTCTGAGTGGCTGTGTTTGCGGTTTTGTGTGTGTGCGTGTGTGTATGTGTGTATGTGTATGTGTGTGTGTATGTGTTATGTGTTATGTGTTATGTGTTATGTGTTATGTGTATGTGTATGTGTGTATGTGTATGTGTATGTGTGTGTGTATGTGTGTGTGTGTCTGTGTGCGTGAATGTGTGTATGTGTGTGTGTCTCTCTCTCTGTGTGGTTATGGCTTGTCGCCCAAGCTTGTACACGACCTCCATCACCCTCCACCTCTTCTGGTCACTCCATCCATAGTCATGTGCTCACATGACGAACTGACGCATGCTGCCAAACCAACAGCTTTGTTCAGATGACGCGCGTGATTGAGCGTTCCTTCCATACAGAGTCTGCCATGGAGCGCCAGGAGTGGGTTGACGCCATCACGGGACTCAAGCACTCCGTATGTACTCCACCGCATTGCTCTCTCTCGTATGTGTGTGTGTATGTCTTTGTTCGATGCGGAAACAGGCTGGTTTGCTTGCCACCTGGCATACGTGAGCGCTTGCTTGTGCTCCGTACCATCACCCTCCCCAGTTTATTCTATCCCATCCAACTGACACGCTTCTACCATCGTCCTCGCCTTGTTCCACCACCACCACCACCACCACCACCACCACCACCACCACCACCACCACCACCACTCCTCTTTCCATGACGGACAGCTCGAGGGAGCCGGTGACTCGCGCGGCTCGCGGTCATCACACGACACCCGCGCCATGTCCTTCATTGGCGGCCGCCCAGAGCCCGCAGACATCTCCATGGACAGCTTCGAAATGCTCAAGGTTCGCCCCAGCGTGTGTATGTATGTGTGTGTGTGTGTGTGTGTAGGAGAGGGGGGTCATTGGATCATGGTAGCAGCGCCACATGTGATTACCTGTTCAGTCAGCCTGTGTCACACACACACACAGGCAGACACACACATACACATACACACGTTCTCTTACCTCACAAACGCACCCACTTACACTCATACACACCCACTTACACCCCATACACACACACGCACGCACGGCGCGTGTGTAGGTGCTTGGCAAGGGCAGCTTTGGCAAGGTGATGCTTGCCAAGCTCAAGTCATCGGGTGCCGTTTACGCGATCAAAGTTCTCAAGAAGAGCATGGTGCGTTTGTTGAGACGCACACGCACACACGCGCACACATGTGTAACAGACAAACCTTTGCTGCTCCTGCTGTGACTATTGTTTCCACGTGACCGTCATGCGTCGCTCTTGGTGGTTTATATGCATGTTCTGCTTGTTTTGTCCTAACACACACACACACACGCGCGCGCGCGCACACACATGCCGTCAATCACACCTCACGCGCACATGTCCCTGTTTTGTGTGGCAGATTCTGGAGAAGAACGAGCTGGCGCACACGTTTACGGAGAACTCCGTGCTGGCCAAGTGCTCGCATCCGTTCCTGACGTCGCTGCACTACTCGTTCCAGACACCAGACCTCCTCTGCTTCGTCATGGAATACGTCAACGGCGGCGAGGTGCACACGTGCTCACACGCTCGACGGTCATGTGGCGTGCTGCCGTGATGGCGTGTGTGTGTCGTGTGTGTGTGTGTGTGTGCGCGCGCGCGCGTGTGTGTGTGTCGTGTGCGTGTGTCGTGTGTGTGTCGTGTGCGTGTGTCCATGTGTGTGCGTGTACACGTGCGTGTGTATGCATGGGCTTCAACTTCCATACTGTTGTTGTCCCTGCCTGCTCTTCCCCTTCGTGAGCTCACCACCACTGCACCCACCCTCCCCTCTTGTAGCTGTTCTTCCACCTGCGCAAGGAGAAGAAGTTCAGCGAGGACCGCACGCGCATCTACATTGCGGAGATTCTGCTTGCGCTGACATACCTGCACGACCAAGGCATCATCTACCGCGACCTCAAGCTCGAGAACCTGCTGCTCGACGCCGAGGGACACATCAAGGTACACCAGCACGTGCGATGCGGTTGGCGTGGTGGCGTGGCAGTTGGTGTTGTGGTGCCGTGGACGGGGAAAGTTATTGGCGCTCGCAGGGCAATTTTATGCAACCTTAATTTGAGTGCTGTGTGTCTCCTTTGACAACGACAGGCGGTGCTTCCATTTGTCTCATCTCAGAACACTTCCTTTTAGGCGCTCACCTTCTCACTCACCCATTACACGCTTGATGCCACGCCATGGTTACGCCCTTCAGATTACGGACTTTGGTCTGTGTAAGGAGGAGATCACGTACGGCTCCACGACGCGCACCTTCTGCGGCACCCCAGAATACCTCGTGCGTTGGCCACCTGCTCGTGACGGTGGTGGTGTTGATGGCGTTGGGAGCAGGGCTGGAGTAGAGGGCTTTGGGGGGGGATTTGTGGTGCATGGAGAGTGGTACTCATTTCCGTGTGTGCAATGACGGCTTTTGATACTCACTCTTCCTCTTCACTCGTGTGTGTGTGTGTGTGTGTGTGTGTGTGTGTGTGTGTGTGTGTGTGTGTGTGTGTGTGCGTTGCATAGGCGCCTGAAGTGATTCTCGACTCAGACTACGGCCTTCCTGTCGACTGGTCAGTGAGCCGTGTGTGTGTGTGTGTGTGTGTGTGTGTGTGTGTGTGTGTGTGTGTGTGTGTGTGTGTGTGTGTGTGTGTGTGTGTGTGTGTGTGTGTTACATTCTCATTTACGCACCCACCCATACACATTCGCACTCGCACTCACTCATTCACGCTTCTTCACACACACACACACACACACACATTCACCCCCACTCTCTCTCACACTCACACTCACGCACTCACA